TTAAATCCTTTTAACATAAAGCTTTTCAAGATTTCATAATAGACGCAACAAAAGACTGTCAATATTTCAGTCCCTAACAGCACATTTCTGACTATCTGTCAACAGTACGAATCACTAAATAGGTCAGAAAATTGTTTTAAAAAATGTATCACAATTCGCTAGAGCCCAAAGTTGTGTTTTCAAATTAATCGTTTTGAGAAATTAAAGCTACATCAAATAAAGAAAATCAGAAAAACCTATGAGATTTCTGTTTTATAGAAAACATTAGGATCATTCATAAAGTGTATATAAAGCCAAACCTAAAATATGATGCAACAAGTCGTTATTAAGGAGGAGGAGCAACAAAGGTAGATTAAAGTCAACAACTCGTCTACAGGTGGGAGCCTGCAGAAAATAACAAATACCAAAGTGACACGTTGGAGATGGGATCACCGTGAGAACAATTTGTGCATGGCAGATGATAAAGAGTTTCAGAGTTGCCTCTTTCTGCCTCATAATAACTGAAGCAGTCATTAGTAATCCAACACCAGCATAAACAACATGCATTCACCTGCACAATACACAAATGAATATCCAGTTAAACTGCTATTGTGGGCTCTTGTTACTACAAAAATCAACCAGACATCTGAAAACAAGGAGGGAGACAAAGAGTATCTTCCAAGAACAATGGGAACATCTTGAGGTACAAAGTGGATGCACTCGTTTTAGTGAAATAAATTCAAATGAGGAAGTCCTGTGTTTAATTCCCAGTGATTTGTACTGGCAGTTAAGTGATGCAATCCAAGTAAAAGCTGCATCACTGTTGATAAATCAATCTACAGTCCAAACACATGCCTTTGCTTTGTCAGTGATTCAATGCATACCAACATGAACGTCCCTTATAACTTCTCTTCAGCACACTATGCTTTATGACAAACCAGCTTTGTAAATAAAGAATGTTGTGCTGGTTAAGACTTGTGTTAGGGCAGGGGTAGGCAAGTAAGTTTGGCCGTGGGCCAATTTTTTGCTGAGCCACAAGATGGCGGGCCAGAACATAATCAAAGTAATTCAAGGAATTTATTTTGGTAAGAGGGCGCAGCGCCCCTGTTCCCCGGTTCAGAAAAAACTCTGATATCGCTGATAACCGTCCCCATCAACACTCTAATGCCCAGTCAGATCCGCTGATTGGTTCACTGATGATATAGGCACCCAATCCAGAGCCTCTGGATAGACCCGCCCAAAGGGAGGATCGTCGTCTCTAGCCCCATTTCAGTCCCATGTTAAAAGTCAGGGCTATTATCTGTATTTTAACAGACTTATCTTTTAAATTGAGGTGCATTTATTGTTCTCTTCAAAGTTAATTTTTTTCTGAAATTTTAGGGAGGATGGTCCTCCTTTTCCTCCACTGAGTGAGTTATTAACTAGGTAGCAGTGTTATTTAACATACTTTTATTCTGATAAATATTGTCAAGTTCTCTGGGTTTTTGGCATTTATTTGAGTGTTTGCCCACATTTGAGAGGCTTGAGGGGCAACAGAGGACGCATGGACAACTGGAATCCTTTTTCCTTTTCTTTATTTCAACTTTTCAAGGACACATTAGGATTCTTTCAGGTTGAAAACCTTTAAAAAATACAAAATAAATAAATTACAGCATGTTTTGCTTTGCAATTTATTTAATATATTATAACCTAAATTAATCAGTAACCAAGTATTTTACTCAACTCAATGTATTTAATAGTTAAAGGGGACCTATCATGCAAAATGCACTTTTGTACGTCTTTTATACATGAATACGTGTCCCCGGTGTTCCAGGGAACTCACCAAGTGTCAGAAAACACAACCCTCTCTATTTTCCTCCACACCCAAATCTCTAAAAAAGGGGCTGCAACGGATCTGATAAAAACTGATCCAGATTTGAACACTGTCCTGACGTCAGGACTGTGGCGCTACGGCTATTGGGCCAACTCTCCACCTATCAGGGGAATGTGGGGTTGGGCCACGGCCGGCCATTGCCGCTCGAAAGCGCTGGAGACACTGTAGTACATATGCCAGGCCTGTAAGTGGCGCTGTAGTCTGCCACAAAAGCAGCGAAGAAGACTTCCCGCGCATGGTTGCCATGGTTACCCTTCTGTTTATTCTCCGCTGTGGCTTTTGTTCTCCCTCCCCGAGGCAAGCACTGTAATTCTCTCCGGTTAGTCCACCAGCAGATGACAAACACCCACCTCTCCGCCTCTTCCAAGGAACGACCGTGCGGCAGAGTTTCAGTTAGGTTTTTTTTCGCCGGTCAAGATGTCCGTTAAAGTTTAAATCTTCCGGACAAAATTAGAAAAGTGCCGGTCAAAGGTCTTCTTTGTTATTTATTGAGCTTTAAAACAAATGAATAACGACTCTATATAATAATATAAGAATAAAACACGGAGGACGGAGATCTCTTTTTCTCCCCCTCTTCTGACTTGATCAGAGCACGCTCCCCTCTCCTGCAGGGGGGCGTGGTCAGCTGCAGCTCACAGAATCAGCCCCCTGCAAAAACAGGGCTGGAGAACAGCAAATAGAGTGAAATGAGGCATGGCTAAAATGCATGATCTGTTTGGTATTTTGAAAACAGAAACGTATAAATACACCTTATATAGGTATGGCCCTACAATATATCATTTAAATATAGCATGATAGGTGTCCTTTAAATAAGTACTTTAATTGACGTCAGTGCACCCCGCTGCCTGATTGTGCCTGTGCTGTATGTCATTCATTCTCAACATAGATAAAAGTACAATAAGCATTCTTCAGGTGTAGGTAGATTCTCTATTCGGACATTATAGCCTATATGTGCGACTGTCGGTCCGATGTTGTAAAAAAAAAAAAAAAAAAAAAATGACGGGCCAAATATTATTGCTGGCGGGCCAACAATGGCCCGCGGGCCGCCTGTTGCCGACCCATGTGTTAGGGGTTTTAATTCTGACGGACATGCATTGTAGCTCACACACACTTTTGTCTAAAGATAGCTTTTCTAAAAATCTTGAAACTGACCACATCCCTGAGTGTATTAATTACCCTCCTGTGGTTTTACAAAGTGTCAGTCAAAGAGCCTCAGGAGAGCTGCAAAAGGAGGTAGGTTGAGGCCATAGTAAACAGCAGATGCTACATGTGAGAACCTGTAAAAAGGTCAACTAGGTCAGAAAAATATTATTAAAAATAGTCATGAGAGGTGTTTCATAAACGATAGGAAGAAAGAAGGGAGGAGCTGTGTGTGTGTGTCAAGAACTGCACCTCAGCCTAGCTCAGTGGTACCTATAAACCTGGATATTTCTGTGCGTAATCCCCTACTGAGAGACACAGATTGACAATATATGGAGGCACATGAATACAAAAAGTGTTTTACCCATGAAAAGGTTGAGCATGACTTCTTGTCCTGTTGCACTGTCACTCTTGTACAGACAGTAGGCGGTACCGGCCAGCCAGGGGATGCCATGTCCGGATATCTCTATGAGCTTCATTAAGGGGCGCACACTGCCCCAAGACGAGTCCTCGCAGGCACACACCCCCATCGTTTTGGACATCCACAGGTCGATGGCGAGCAGGGAGCTGAGCGCTACGCGGATGAAAGAGGGGTTCAGCCGCAAGCCGTCCTCGTCTGGCAGCCCCTGCCCGCTGCCGGTGGAGGAGCTGGAGCCCCGGCGCCGAGTGGGGCTCTCCGAGGCTCTGAGGCGGGCGGTGGCGGGGTCGGAGCCCTGCCTCTGGTGCGGCGGGGAGGACCGGTTCAGCGGCTTCGTCAGAGACATGAAGTCGTAGCGGCCGTTGGAGCTGCCGAGCACCGGGCTTCCGCCGCCGCGAACCGGGTTTTTAGATTTAGGAGAAGGCATTTTATCTGTTTTAAAACCGATGTACAGTAAGGTGGGGTGTTGCTGGCCCTCTGTGGTAAATTGTCTGCAGTGCTATGCGGGGTTTTCGCTCCTTTAGGTCATCTGTTATGCGGCTCAACATTCAAAGCACGTCCTATAACTCTGAGCCGAATCGCCATCTTTGATGTTGTAATCGCAAAGACACCTGGGAAATTGTGTTTTCCAGTGTGGTTTCCCCCTTTTTGTCAAGAAAAATGTGACTTCCTATTCATCTTTTTTTTATTGTGGTGCCATATACACTACAATACAGCTTTATTTGTAAAGCACTTTATAACCTCCAAACCAAAGTGCTGTAGGCCTACAGAGAAATAAATAAATAAAATAGAAAAACCACACAGCTCAGCTCACAAACCCTAAAATGAGAAAAATACAAATAGCCTAAAGGGGGGGAAATGTACATAATAGGCTTGTTTGAGACGAGCTGCGGCTCGCCTCGAAAGTAGACGAGAATAGCCGATCGCAGCCGGGGGAGGTCTCAAAAAGCTCGCCTGAAGTCGGACAGCTCGGAGTCGGCTTCTTCTTCTTCTTCTTCTTCTTCTTCTTCTTCTTCTCTCGGTTTTTTGGCGGATTTCAAACAACTTTAAGGTGCATACCGCCACCTCCGGAGTCGGCTTGACTCGGTTTGCATTTATAAATGCACACGGCATCTATTGCACGTCTGTCCGTCCTGGGAGAGGGATCCCTCCTCTGTTGCTCTCCCTGAGGTTTCTCTCATTTCCCCTTTAAACTGTGGGTTTTTCTCTGGAAGTTTTTCCTTGTATGATGTGAAACGTAAGGACAGAGGGTGTCGTATTGTCATACTGATATTCTGTACAAACTGTGAAGTCCACTGAGACAAATGTAACATTTGTGACATTGGGCTATATAAATAAACATTGATTGATTGATTGATTGATAAAGAATGGACAAATGTGTTTAATCGTTAATGTCAGGTATGTACTAAGTAAATACATTTGTTCCTGCTCAAGATTAGATTCAACTTTATTGTTATTGCACAGATTACAGGTACTGAGACAACGAAATGCAGTTTAGCTTCTAACCAGGAGTGCATAAAGCAGTAAAGTGAAAATGAATGTACACAATCTACAGAATAAAATATAGAATGAATTGAATGATGAATAAACAGTGAGGGGTATGAATACACTATATACACAGTCTCTATTTACACGATGAACATCCAATCTCAGTATAAGGTTACTGCAGGACAGTGAAGGTTTTGCACTTTATGAATTTACGTTTGTGTTGCTCATGAGTAATTCTGTCATAATACCATGTGTAATATGATGGCAATCTCAAGAGCAACGCAAATGATGGTATCCTCCGCGAAACAGGGTCTTGAAACCAAAACAAATTCCTGTACCCCATGGTACTTTTTAGTTTTCGCCAAAACCATTCCTCAGGCTTAACAGGTTAAAAGTCCCCCTTTTGTCCACAACACACGGTGCAAACAAATACAATCCTCCTGCTGGAAGATGTCCAGAGAGACACTCAGTGTTACGTAACATTTCCTTGTTGGGAATTTTTCCGCCTCTGCCTCGTACAACCCGCAGCCAAATAACATGAGACGGACCATGCCTGCAGGAGCAAACTGAGTTTACAGAGGGTCCTTTTAAACATTTTCATCATGATTTTTCAAGCCCTTTTTGAGTGTATGGACTTCACTAGTTGGCTGTTGATCAGTTTTATAGTGTTACTCCTGACAGATGTGATCAGAAACTGGAGACCAAACAGCTTTCCCCCTGGACCCTGGGCTGCGCCTTTTCTAGGAAATGTCTTGATAGGACTTGACTTCAAAGCAATGGAGAAGGTAAGGTGAACAGAGAGGATACAAGTTGATCTTTAATATCATACAGGCAATGTGTCTTTCATAAATAAGCCTTTGCAACACTATAGGCTGGAAATAACAATAAATAAACAATAAAAGCTTGCAACTAAAAAAATGCTTTTGTTTTTGAATGCAGCTCTCTCAGGAGTATGGTCCAGTGTTCAGCTTGAGGATAGGCAGCCAGAGGATGGTGTTTGTTTCCGGGTACAAGATGGTCAAAGAGGCTCTTGTTATCCAGCTGGACAGCTTTATTGATAGACCTATTATTCCTCTTTTCCATGCTGTCTTTAAGGGGATTGGTGAGTATACCTGAACGAGAGTGAGAAAGCCTGAATATTTAATGGTGCAAAAGTATTGCAGTAGTGGTTTGCCTTCTCCAGGGCAGAACTTAATCTCTTTACGCAGTATCGATAGATTTAACCAAAAGTCATAGCCCAGTAAGTCAACTCACATGGGACAAAGTCTGTGGTCCATGCAGAATAGACTCTCCCCTCTGTGCAACAAGAACACTGCACAACACCAGATTAGGGAGTGAAAGAAAGTGTTTCTTTTCAAGAAAGGTGCTCAGAAGTGATATCTAAAATCTGTAAAGGCAGTGAATTGCCTGTTTGCTTTGTTAATTTGCTACAACTGTCCCACAGGTATAGCTTTGAGCAATGGGTACTTGTGGAAAAAGCAAAGGAAGTTTGCCAACACTCACCTGCGTTACTTTGGAGAGGGCCAGAAGTCCCTGGAAAAATACATTGAGGTGGAAAACACCTACATCTGTGAAGCTTTCAAAGAGGAACAAGGCAAGTAGAGATTGCTATGTGGAGTGATTTTATATCCTAACATGATATATCATTACTTTAATTCAACATATTCCCAGGAAGGCCATTTAACCCCCATAACATCATAACGAATGGAGTGTGTAACATCATCTCGTCTGTGCTCTTCGGACATCGCTTTGAGTACAGCGATCAAAGCTTCCGCAGGATTCTGGACTTGGACAATGAGGCTATTAGGTTAGCTGGCTTACCTCAGACTCAGGTAATTTCTCATCTACTTTAACTAAACTGTGCTGTAGACCTATAACTAATCTGAGAGTTTGTCCCATCAACAGCTGTATGATGCCTTCCCTGGTGTGCTGAAGTACCTGCCAGGACCTCACCAGACTGTGTTAAAGAACTACTCGGAGATCTTGGCTTTCCTGAGATCAGAAGTAGTGAAGCACCAGGAAGAGTGGAACCCAGAGGACCCTCGTGATTTTATCGATGTTTACCTGGGAGAGATGGAGAAGGTAAGATATTTGCACATATTTAGTATAGTCTGATACAGTATTACATAAACATGAATATAAAAAAGTATTCCATGATGTTTTCTGATAGAGTATCAGATAGAAGACACATCTGTTTTTTGGCAACAGCTGAAATTAAATTGGCCAGACTTCTTTCTGAGGATTGATAGGACTGCACAGCATCCTTAGTTTAGAGCGTTCTTTAGTATTCAGATTTGAGTATTCACAAGCCGTGTAATAACATCAATGTAATGTTGTTGACACTTTGCCAGAAAAAGGAGGATCCCCAGGCTGGCTTCAACATTGAAAGCCTGCTGATTTGCACACTGGACCTGATAGAGGCCGGTACAGAAACATCAGCCACCACTTTACGCTGGGCCCTGTTGTACATGATGCACTACCCAGAGATACAGGGTTAGTATCTGTCTGAATCACATAGGCATTTAGAGTATTCTCACAGAGATTACAGAGTTTTTTGTGCTGTTTAAGGTTATAATGTCCAATGACTGCCTCCTCACTCAGAGAAAGTACAGGCAGAGATAGACTCAGTGATCGGACAGTCTCGACAGCCCACCATGGCCGACAAGCCCAACATGCCTTACACTGAAGCTGTCATCCATGAAGTTCAAAGGATGGGAAATATCGTTCCCCTTGGATTCCCAAAAATGGCCAGTAAAGACGCTACACTGGGAGGATACTCAATACCCAAAGTAAAGAACTATTTACCAGACTCGCCCATATATTATAGGTTGAGTTTTGTCCATTATTTTTACACAACGTGACATTTCATGCTTATTTATCCAGGGAACAACTATTACTACAATCCTTGCGACTGTGCTGTTTGATAAGAATGAGTGGGAAACTCCGGATACCTTCAATCCGGAGCATTTCTTGGATTCGGAGGGGAAATTTCGCAGAAGAGACGCCTTCTTACCGTTTTCAGCAGGTTTGCTTGATATTCCTCTACTAGCTTACAGACAAATTGCTACCAACATATTTCCTGCTATCAAGATTAGAGTTTAAAATCTGTTGCCTATTGTTTCCCGACAGGTAAACGTGTGTGTTTAGGGGAGCACCTGGCCAGAATGGAGCTGTTCCTTATGTTCACTGTTCTCCTCCAGCACTTCACCATCTCCCCTGTTCCTGGAGAGATGCCCAGCTTGGACGGTGTGCTGGGTTTCACCAATTCCCCCCAGCAGTTCAGGATGCTAGCTGTGCCTCACTGATTTGCTCCTATTCCACCTCAGGGTCACAAAACAGTCTTAAGTCCACGTTCGCTGCCAAAAAAACTAAATCAGATCACATTTCTGACTCAAAACTTAAAACTAGTTTGACATGAAATAAATCAATATATACTTTTTAGTTTTAAAGCCATTCACTCCCATCATCACCCACAGAGATCATTTCACACATTTATACATGCACATACTCATGTGTATACTCACACATTTAGTAGCTTTGTAGGACTTTAAGATAAAAAATAACCGATTGCTAATGTAACAGGTAAATTACACATGCTAGGTTTGCTAGTATTATTTTCATTTAGCATGAAGATCTTTTAACTAATTAACTAACAATCTACTGTTTCACAATACTTGCCTGATACAGTTTTGATTTATCACTACACTGACAAGCTTTTTATCTACTTGAACTTAGATAATTTAACAACATGGTCATTATGACATTCATAACCTGTCTATTAAGTGCATAACGTTATGCAACACAATATTGCAAATATTTTCCTGCAGCAACAGGAGATCAGATGTATTATATTTTCCTATATCCATTAGCTGGTTAAGTATTAGTTAAGCATGATTTTTTGACAAAATAAATCATAGAACCTATACACACAACTTCACTCACATGCCAAATTGAGTAAGATAACATTTCTAAATAAATGCCTACATACATTAACATGCTTTTAATTTGGTATACATAAACTTGTGAAATTATACTTAAAAATCTGTAAAATGTTTTATTCTGTTCAATAAAGGATTTTAGTTGTACCCAAGAGTTTGCCTTTTACATAGTTTTAAAACATTAAGAGAAGTCAGGATTTTGTTGGAAATGGTTGTGTGGGGTCAGCTTAAATAACTTGACCCAAAGCCGGTTTGTTTGCAAAATATTGTAAGAAGTGTAACGTATCTCCTTATCTTTAGAATCATTGACAAACTTTCAGGAATCCATTGAAATCAATTAATGTTTCATGTGGAACCTACTTGAGCAGGTCTCCCTTGAAAAAGAGATCAATGATCTCAATGGGATACACCTGCAAGGTTTGAAATTCAATTAAATGAAATTGTTCTTTTGAAATCATGTATTTATCTGAATTCATCTGAACTCAAAGAGTCTTATCTGCCCAATGCATATGATGATTCAATTCAACACAGTACAGTATAGCACAGTACATTTATCTGAGACGACACTTTCTCTGATGGTCTGCTTTCAGTCTACAAGTCTTAAATTGTGTAGAGGAATGTTGGAACCTATTTCCACTCATTTACATTCAACTGTATAGTCGATCGGTATAAGACCTTTATCCCAACTGCACTCTATATTTAAGCTTGACTCTATTCAGTGGCGTTTTTATATGTACAAAAGTGGTGGGGCACAAAAAACTTAGATGTCTATATATAAGCTTCTGCAGTGACGTGCAGTGAGGTTCATGGCTGCTTAGGCACTGGCACTGACTCTTCAGGTTTACAAATCTTATATTTTGACCTAAACCAAAATATAATATTATTTTCAAAAGCTTTTTTTGTCTGATGCTTCGATTAATTTTAAACAGACAGTTCAACAAAAGGATACCCAAAAAATGTAATTTGATCATTTAAATATTGAATTGTTCTCTCTAAGTAAGATCCCATTTTCAAAAAATTGCGGTCTTACCTTGACTTGAAGATGAAGTCCATTTGACTATCCTTCTGGACAAAAAATTCTATACATTTTTTGTAAAAGTCCTCCTTATCTTCTTGTAGTTTCAAAAGTCTATCATAAATCTAATCGATAGATTTATGATTCGAAAATTATAAAAGTAGGGTAGACATGTGGATATTATCCGGCTGAACAAAACGTGCATTTATCTAACAGGTACGTTTCCCACAGATCTTATTTCAAGCTATTTTCTAAAATCCTATAGAGAAACCTCATTGCTTTTTTGCAGCTTACTTCCTGGTTTTAGGACGCGTCACTGCAGCTCTCGTCTCCTCTTACTATACATCCATGCTCTTCACACACCACACTTTTCGCGGCACACGTACTTACAGCCAATCAGCTCTGAATGATGTGAGATGACGTATGGTGGGGATGGCAGCTCTGTGCCCCTATGGTGTTTTTTTTTTTTGCCACACACATTACATTGAAAAATACTCTGAGCATGCGCAGTGTAGTTTTTACAGTCACCGTTCACTTTGACAGTGAAAGGGTGGGGCATGATCAGGTTTTGTCCCACATGGCTCAAAACGGCACTGTAGACACTAATTAGAAGAACACAGACTAAAACAGCAATGTACAGACGAATCAGATGATTAAACATGACCTTAAAATATATTTTATATATTTTTTAATTTCTTTTTTTGCATCTCTTTCCATTTTTTGTAATCATTATGTGTAATACTTTCTGCTGACACTAGGTGGGGCTGTGCCCCACCTGCCCCTAATGACCAGTCACTGCACAGTAGCCTAGCCTAGTATGAACAGTGTGTTGTATGAATATGCTAAGATATATAAAGTATGACAACGGTAAGCAGTGCAAGTATAGTATACAAATATATAGATATTAATTTAATGATGATAAACATTGTGGAACAATGATGAAAAATGTGAATGGAAGTGGCGACGTAAAACTGACACAAAACAACAACACACTTTTGCCGAGCCAATGGAGAGTTTCATCCCCAGCACGGGGTAAAACCCACCAATGAGCGCTCAGCTCGAGATACCAGCAAGTCGTTTCCCATCAAGCATTTCGCTTCCGCAGCCCGTGGAGAGAAACTGCGCCGCCTCGCCGCGCCTCGTTCTCAAGTCTGCGGGCGTCTTTGTCCCGCGATATTTCAACGTCTCATGTAGGCGAGCCTCCAGAGCAAGTCGGACAAAATGACTAACCATCATGCAACGCACTAGCAATACGTTGATCGCAATTGCGCAGGTCTGCGCAGGTCTCGCTTGTCTCAAACAAGCCTAATATCAGCCATAATGATGAAGTTATTGGTAGAAGTGTAGGCAACTTGTTTTGGAGTCGTTTTTTAGGAATGTGCACACAACCGGTTTTAAGGTAGTACCACTGAACATTGAATTCACCCTGAAGAGAAACAAATAAAATGCAAATATTACATTGGAGACGTTTAGTTTTTGTTTCTGAATGAAACACCCCTTATTCCTAGATTGTGCCTTGGTGGAAAGATCTCCTTGATTGATCTGGTAATAATTTGAATATCAAAGTTTGAGAGCATAATGGTCGAATTATTTCATGATTTGCATACTATACTGTCAGAAAACTTAATGAAAAGACTAAGACCAACAACCGCCTCTCAATACTGACTTTTCCCTAAGCCCCATTTATTCTACCAGAGGTTGTAGCTTAAATGAATAAAAACAGGTCAAACTGTTTTGGGTTAACATTTTAAAGGCTCAGCAACTTTCTTAAACAACTGCAGGGCGTAGTCTTTATCTGAGCAGGTTGGGTGGCAGCCCTTTCAAATTATTGTCCCAGGCGTACAGCCACATTTTTAGTTGTGCTGACAACGTTACCAATTGGTGGGAATCCCTGAGCAGGTTTGTACGGTCCAGGGATGTTGATGACTTCTTTAATGCTTTAAGTCTGTAAAGTTTGTGACTATTCAGTCCGTCAATGGCTCAGTCAGTAGGGGCTTGGACTGGGAGCCGTAGGGTCGCTGGTTCAAGTCCCCGAACATGTAGTCTGGACTGCTACTTGGAGAGGACCCAGTTCACCTGCTGGGCCCTGCCGTGGTGCCCTTAAGCAGGACACCCCCCCAGCTCCCCCACTGCTCCTACTACTAGGATGGGTTAAATGCAGAGGTCAAATTTCACTGTGTGTGCTGTGTGCATGTATGTGTGACCATTAAAGAGGGTTTCATCCCTATCTATCTAGTAAGACAATTAAAATGTTGAATGTTTCCATGAACATTGCTGCATTTTCCATCAATTATTTTATTCTATTCATCATGCGAGGGCATGTTGTGGAGTCGGTGACAGATGATGAAGCTCTCGAAACCAGGTCATGTATATGATCATTCAACTATCATTCAACAATCAGATATTATGAAGTAGAGATCTAACTACAATACTTTGTTTCCTCTATTCCCCTAAAAACAAATACATCACATTTTACAATAACTGAAACTGTTGTGATACTTAAATAGAAAATAATATCAGTTTTACTAGGTGACTTTCATCCAACATTCCCTTCTTGCTCCTCTCACAAGAGAATATAATGTATTTGGTATTATTAACAAAAAGGGCGTTCAAATTGGCAAAACTCTTGGCAAAGTTTTGAATCCATACATCCAAATAAAGGAACAATAATCTCCACAGAAACCTTGTGTGCAATCATGTCAGTGCCCTATTATGAATTAAAATTAAACATGCAATCTCTTCTCAGAACATATGAAGAACTAAAATATATGATGAGCAATTATGGAAGAGAGCAGCGTTGTTACACGCTTTATTTATTTTCATTTTATTTGTATCCTACTCATTATCTATGCAATTAAATAATGATTGTATGTAATGAAAGTAATTTTTTATCGGATCTGTCTGTATTTTTTATTCATTGATGTTTGTAAATGTTAATGAAACATTTTCCAAAAGAAAGTTTAAAAAAAAAGGAATCGTTACGTCTCTGTCTCTGATTGGTCGAGGATCTGCGTATCAGACGTTGATCCCGCCCCTATCCGGGTACATTCATGAGTAGCTGCTGATCTCTACCGTACAGACAGGCAGGTTGTCACTCGTCTTTTTTCTCGTGTTGGAGCTGCAAAGAAGAGACTACCATGCCCGGACTTCTGCTCGGAGACGTGTTCCCAAACTTTGAGGCCGACACCACCATCGGCAGAATCAAGTTCCACGATTTCCTGGGCAACTCGTGAGTGCGCATGCTCCCCGTACAGCCATTATACTGCAACTAATGTTTAAGTTGGTGTTTTGAGTTATGTTTGCACCATGTAATGCCATGGGAGCTGGTTATATGTGTGGCTGTTTTCAGAGAAGCTTTACGCACATCTGAGTCAGGATATTTATTGATATTTAAAAGCTAAAGTGCATTTTTTTTAATAAAGAGCTGACACAAAAGTCTACAGATCACTTTACAGATGATCCCCCTGTGATTGCCATGCGACACCTGACACATACAGGGTTACTTGCATAAGCATGACTGGAGGATTGGAGCATGATAATACACCAGAAATGTAATAAAACACACACACCATTTATGTTGTGTTTAAAATGGGTGAAAGCAACATGGAGCTGTCCTAACTTTGTACAAAAGAGAGTAGCAGACATATGTGTGGTTCTCATTCATTTTCTCTGGCCAATTCATTTGCATGTAAGCAAAGAACGGACAACGCCTGTATTGTGTGAACTTGGAACTGTGCCTCAGTGCTTGCATAACCTTTAGTTCTCACCCTTGTTAAGCTGTAGGCTGCTTTGTAAAAACCGAGAGAAAGAAATACCTTAGCATGCATTTACAACCATACCAACACGCAGCCTGGCATAATGCTCCAACAATTTAATGCAGTGAGAATTATTTGTACATAGAAAGATTTAACTAGTCTAATGTAGTGTGTTGAACTGTGCAAACAATTGATTAAAAAAGCTCTTCACAATATTTTAATGAAGTAATTTGATGGTGCATTTTTCATTTACTTTTGATTTGAAGATACAAATTCAAGATTTCTACCCTGTAATTTCCTCGTCCCGACCACAGTGCAAATAGAGGGATATATTTGCCAAGGTGTACTTTGCTCTAATTTAATAACACGCATAACCT